ACATACACAGATAATTTTGGACTTAGAAACTCTTTAGTTCAATTGCATATGGCTTGGGACAAAGTTACTATCTCTGGATTAAACATCACTGAAGTAGGAGAGATTGGGTTTATCTAGGCAAGGTATTTTCCATTTCTAGGGTAACATAGTTACTGACCACATCAGGCAATAAATATGCACTGGCAAGGCACTTGATAATGAAAAAACTCTGAAATATTTATAGGCTTTTATATTTTATCCTTTAAACATAATTTTATATTTTGTAACCTTGAATATCTTATTGTGGCTATCTGGGGAAAATAAATTTAGAAGTGGATTGTATGCTATAGGACTTGGCATAAGTAACAGGCATATATAATATCCATCAATCATTTGTGTGTTGGGGGGGGAAACTGCAACTGGCCAAATATTAGAGATTTTTGTTTGGAAATTTGATTGCTACTGTATATCATATTACCTATTACAGGCATGCTATTTATGAGGTCATCAGAAATTTTGATCAAGATAAATTGTATCCATAAGCTCCTTTGTTAAATGGCAATTTCTTTGTACAACTACTTAAAGATAACAAAAATAATTTTAAAAGAATTTTTAAAATTGTATTGGCTATACACTTTCTTTATGTTCTCACTATTCATTCACATTGCAACTTTCTTTCATTAGGTTTATATGTACATAGTTCTACTGAAATTATTCATCTCATCCTCTAAAAATCATCTAATAATCACATGGATAGATTCATTTCAGTAATATTACCTTAAAAATCCAATCTGGCTTTTGCCTTGATTTGACCTTTTCCTTTTCTTATGTTTTCCCTTGTCTTCACATCTTCCATAGTGAACAATCTATCATAGTCTCATTTGAGTTTATTTATAAAATGTAACTTAACATTTATAACCTAATTTTGGCCAGAATATTTTTCAACTCAGTGTCCTTCAAAGAATCTTCTGTTGTTTTGAATCTAAATATTATAGTCTAATAATTAAGGCATGTTAGAATCTTTTGATATAGTGTCTACCATTTTTTTTAGTCTGAAGCCTCACCCTTTGCATATATCAGCCATGTTTATGAATCAAACAGAATTGTGAGTCTTGATTTTGCACATAAAGACTTCTTTGTAAAAAATATTCTCCCTTGCACTTTATTGCCTTCCCACTTTTTGAAATCATAAAAGAATAGTTATCCAGTCATCTTCCTCCAGAATACTTCTGTTAACATGGTTATACTGTCTTCTCATTATTGAAGTACTATTTTTAAATAATTTTTGCTTTCTATATAGACAGAAAACTTTTGGTTCTTGAATATTTTAATGCATCTTATGGAATTAGAAATATTAGCTGACTATTTTATTTTCTTCTTTACAGATTTGCAAAAAAATTCTATAAAGAAATTTTTATTGGGTTGTTTCCATATTTTGCCTATGGTAAACAATGCAGCAATGAACATGGTTGTGCTAGTATCTTTAGTGTGGCCTTGTTTTTGCTCTATTGGATAAAAGCCCAGGAGTGGGATTACTGGATCACAGGGAAGTTCTATATTTAGTCTTTTGGGGAACCTCCATGCTGCTTTCCAGAGTTGTTGAACAAGTTTGCATTCCCACCAACAGTGTAGTAGCGTTCTATTTTGGAAACCGCCCAGACACTCCTCATTGGATGAAAGGATCAAGAAAATGTGGTACAGATACACATGGAATTTTATACTTCCATTAGAAAGAATAATATTGTACCAATCACAAGGAAATAGAAATATTTGGAAAAGTTATATTAAGTGATATAAGCCAGACCTAAAGAAATACAGGTTGCATAGTTTCCCTCATTTGGTGTAAATAGAATGTGCCTATAAATCTACAACTAAACACACTGGATGGAAAAAATACAAAAAATACACTTGGACATGATAACTTATACAGTACTCTAGACAATCACACAAGGAGATCAAAAGAGGATGTTTTTAAGAGAGGATCACAAGGGCTCAATATTTGTGTGCATATGATCTTATAGCCTGATGTCCATCAAAATGAACTCCAAGAAATGGGAGTGATAGGGTTTTTCATTTGTTATTTTACTTTTTTTCTCTCTCCTTTGTTGCTGTTATTGGTTTATGTACCTTTGGTATTGTATGTACGATTATCTGCTTTGGAGAGGGTAAGAGAGAGCACAGAAATTATTTACTAAGGCTGAACACATTCAGTAGTGATACTAGACACTATGTTGAAAATTAACTCTACCACTTGTGGAGGAGGGGGATCAGGAAAGGAAAACTGGGAGAAAATGAGGGAAGAGGTGGCACTGTTCAAAAAGAAATGTTCTCATTACCTGACTATGTAACTGTAGTCCTTCTGTATATCATACTTACAATAACAATAAAAAGGAAAGAAAAAGAAAGAAAAATGAATTTTTACTATTATTGTCTACTGCATTACTCAGTGAAGGATGATTTTTTTGTGAGTCAATTTAAACTCTTCTTGTAACTATTTATACATTTATTTGTTTTTCCTGTGAAGTATTTCAGACATTCAGAAAAGTACAGGGAATAATATAGTTTATTCAAAAACCACTGTCATCAAATCCTGATTGCCAGAATTGACTAGGATCATCTTTATAAGATGAGAAATGCATCCAGTTCTCTCAGTACATCCCTACTGGCCAATTTTCTCTCTCTAGTGGTAGCTGTTATTCTGAGTCTGATGATTCTCTTTAAGGAATAGATTTTCTTTTATGCTTGTTCCACACATCTCTATTTCTATTAAAGTATCTAGTATCAGCTCACGATGTTTCGCCTACAGAGAAATCTATAAGTAGATTTTCTTTCACATATCACGCTGGTGGTATTTGTAGAGCCCCAAAAATTATCTTGCAATCAATTATTCTCAGGAAACTAGTGGTGGATGTTTTATCTGAGATCTGCTTACTCTTCAAAAGTTTTGGTGTGCACAGAATTATTGCTTTCTTCAGGTTCATTCTTGACCTGTGCTTTGTTACTTCACTGAGAACCAATCATTCAAACTTTCAAGCCGGGTCTAACAGGTGTCCTTTCCCACTTACAATGTTGATGAAATATTTTAGCAAGTTTGCTTCTAAATAAGAACTATGGTGGAAAATGGATTGCTTATTCAAATATACAACACCTAATACATGACAGATACATTTTAAGCAGTCAGTTTACAATAATGAACAGAAATTACACAGTATCTATTCTTTAGTGAACTTCACTCTGGTCAGGGGACAGATCAAACACAAAACAAATAGTGGATAACATATTAAGCCATGGAAATAAAAACAAATTTTGAAATATCCTATAAAAGAAACAAGTATTAGGATAGTAACACTAAAATAAAAGAAAAAGAATGATAAACTTTTGCTCTGTATACTGTAACTATGATTTTGTCACTGAGTGTTCTGGAGAAAAGAAATATGTATGTTTGTAAGCAATTCCTTTTAGCTTCAAGTTTATCATTGGATGATGTATGATGCTATGGTTTTGCCTTTAAACCTAAAAGCTAGATTGCTTGAGTTCTAAAATCTGCTCTGTCAACTATACTCTTCTGTAGGGCATTGGGAAAATTTGATCACATGTCTGTCTATTGTTGAACACATGCATAGGGGTCACAAAAATGAATGAATGCTATAGTTTTTTTCATGTGGATTATAGGTCAAGTACTTTGAGAAGTCTGTAGTATGTAATAACATTCAAAGACTTTTTTCAGAACCAGTTTATTAAAATTCTTTTCATTTTTAATTTTTATCTTCATGTTTCCAAAATCCTAGACATACTTCACTTTATTCATTTCCTGTAAAATACATTCATCATAATAAAAACTATTTCCTTATTTTGTTTGTGTAGAATTGGATGAGAAATTTAGCTCAAGATGAAAAACTAAATGATGATTTTTCCCCTTACAATAAAGTTGAAAGGATTATTGTTTTTAAATTTTTCCTTTGAGATTTCTATCTCCCATCACCAATTTATTTTATTTAAAATAAAACATGCACATAACTTGGTTAATAGAGTAATTCAGTTAATCGTGTTATAGCTATCAGGTTACAAAACTTTAGAGTCTAATTCAGTCAGTCTTTGCACTTCAGGTATTCTTAAGTATATTCAAAGAAAGCTTGTTTATAGATAATTTAGTATGATTGCATATACTTCTGTGTTGCTGAATAGTAAGGATTTTTATGTTAATGTGAAATACAATTATTATTAAAAATTTTTGTGGCTTATAGATAAGATATACATCCTTATAAAATCATAGGTCTTTACTATCATGTTTTGAGTACAGTGGCCCAAGCCCATAATACTAATTCCTTGGGAGGTCAGGATTGGAGAATTGTGAGCTTCAGGCCAATCTGTGCATGAAGTTTCCTGAGACTCCCATCTCGCTCAATGGCTGGGGAGGATGGCATGCACCTGTTATCCCAGCTGTGGGAGAATGGTGAGATGCTGTGGAATATGCCTGTAATCCCCCGGGCCATAGGGAAGCATAAGTGGGAAGAATAGAGGATCATAGATCCAATTGACCTGAGCATAAAGTGAGACCCATCCTGAAAAATAACTAATAAAAAGGGGGCTGTAGACATGACTGAAGTGTTAGAGTACCTGCTTAGCCAGCACAGGTCCTGTTCTTCACCTTCATGAAATGGTAGATGAAAGTCCTTATTTTAAACATCAAATTTAGAACTCTATTGTATAATAACCATGTTTTCTTGTCTACTACTGCTGATGAACTTGTTTAAATCAGTTTACTTAAGATGGTTTCTGAAAAAAATATTGTTCATACTAAGTTTGACTAAAGAATATGCTGATCACATTTGTTCTCTAAGAAAGATTAGAATACTTTTAGATACAACTTTGTGGTGGTTGTGAACACTATAAAAATGCAAAATGGTTCTTAAATTTATCTCCCAGCTTTCTAACAATTCCAGGTACTCAAGTCTTTCTATTTCATTTGAGTCTTGCTACATAATGTCTATAGTCACTCTTTTTTTTCCCCCTTCCACTAGACAGTATTACTGAAGTCTTCACAAACATCTACGTGACCAGTTTTGGCCCAGTATCTGACACTGATATGGTGAGTTTTTTCCTATTTAGTAGTGTTTTTATTTATATAATAGAAAGTGGTATGTGATTTACAATAAATACTTTTATGGTTGTAGAATTGCTCATCTGTCTCACATCTATCAAAATACACAGGGAGCACATGATGATAATCTATTTATACAAAGGAGAACAATACCAACCTGGTACATTTGGTCCTTTATATCTATATGCTTTACAAAACTTATCTTACCACTACATTAGTAAACAATTCAAGTGTAAATAAAACCAATGGTATTAGTGACTAATTTTCTGGGATTTATGTTGCTGCTCTGACTTATGTCTGTACAGTTTCATAGAAAGTTGTGATGTTTTTCTATCCATGAAAAAATTTTCCGTGGGCCCTAAGCAAAGTAAATGCCTGTCATATACACAGAGCAGGTACATATAAACCCATAAAAAAACGGATATGACCATTTTTGAATTCTGTGAGACTGGTGTTCATTTATTTACTTTTTAATTAGCTTGTAAAGAGAAGAAGCTTAGTCTGGTATGTTAGAAACCAGGGGTCTGGAATCACCAAGAAAAATCATTGACTATTCATGAACATTTTAGAAATCAGTTGTCCATGTCATCTCTGAACTATTCTGTAATAGAAATTTTTCTCGTAGTAATATTGTGTTCACTAAAGCCAGGTGTTGGCGGCTCACATCTGTAATCCTAGCTACTTAAGAGGACCATGGTTCAATGTAAGCCCAGACAGGAAAGCACAAGACTTTTATCACTGATTAACCACCAGAAAACTGGAAATGGCTGTGTACCACTCTACAGCACTAGTCTTGAGCAAAAGACTTCAGGGACAGCCCCCAGACCATGACAGACATCAATCTATAGGTATCAGTCCCATGATAGACAAAAATAAATGAATAAATGTGCATATATATAAATATATGTATAAATATACACATTGTATATATATATTAACTGGTATCATGTCATATATTAACTGGTCTCATGTCATATATCGTCCTCCACTTCATGTCTGACCTTGTATTTTATGAATGTGCATGTCTTTGTCCTCTGCCACCTCCCCTACCTCCTCAAGTTTGTGGCTTATAATCATAGTCATGCACAGCCATTCTGCACTCAAGAACCTAATGTCACTTTGAAGATCCGCCTCTTACATAGTGCAGGGAGCGAGTGAGAATTTGAGGTTTCTGTGTTCCTTTTGCTCAGTCATTTCCCAGCCACGTAATCTCTCCCCAATTTGTCTCTCATTGCTAACCCAAGGGGAAAGTCGACAGTTTGGAAATTTTCCACCTGAATAAACAAACAAAGCCAAAATAAACCCTTTTATTTCAGGCACTCATAAACATTGTTAGTTAATTTATCAGGACTTCCCTGCTTTCCCATTGGGGAGTAGGATTGCCACTTTTATAATAAACAAAAATTTGCCATTCTTTCTGTCAGAAACACTATCAAAGAAGATCCTCACCTTTGGGAGTTACAAAACATGATCAGTTGTTTAACTTTGCTAAAAATATAGAACATAAAGATGTTTTAAATTTTTTATTTTATAGCCGGGCGCTGGTGGCTCACGCCTGTAATCCTAGCTACTCAGGAGGCTGAGATCTGAGGATCGCAGTTCAAAGCCAGCCCGGGCAGGAGAGACTGTAAGACTCCTATCTCCAATAAACCACCAGAAAACCGGAAGTGGCGCTGTAGCTCAAGTGGTAGAGCGCTCGCCTTGAGCTGAAGAGCTGAGGGACAGCGCCCAGGCCCAGAGTTCAAGCCCCACAACCGACAAAAAAAAAAAAAATTATTTTATTATAAAGATGCTGTACAGAGGGATTACAGTTACATGAGTAAGGCAATGAGCACATTTCTTGTCAATCCTTGTTACCCCTTCCCTTGTTATTCTCACACTATCCCCCCTTCCTTCACAACTCTCTTCCCAAATTTGTAAAGTTCATTTCCAATATTCTGTCTTGTGGGTATCATTGTTGCTATGGTAAGCTAGTGTTTGTAATCTCACTAGGATGCATCTTACTGGATCCCTGTCAGAGGATCCATGTTACTGTACAGGCATGGGGGGTAGCTTTTGGAGTTGATGCAACTCACTGAATGTTCTTGTTCACTCTTCTGTGTAGCACAGGGGGATAGAATGAAGAGGAGCATTTATTGTAACTTAGCCTATTCTATTTGATATTTGGCCAAATTGAACGACAAAAGTTGAAAGTGGGGGGAAATTAAGGTTGAATCACATTAATCCTATACATGTATAAGTCAGATACACATAAAAACACTTATACTTGAATCTACTTCTACTAGAGAGGGTGGAACCCATTTAAGAATATATGCACTTCTCAGAAGAAGTGAGAATGGCCAATACAAAGAAAGAAATGTTCAACATATATTACCATAAAAGAAATGCAAACCAAAACAACATTCAGATTCTACCTCACCCTGGTTAGAATGGCCATTATCCAGAAAACTAACAATAACAGATGCTGGTGAAGAGATGGCCAAAAGGGAATGATACTACAATGCTGGAGGGAAAGTAAACTTGTTTAACCACTTTGAAAAGTGGTATGGATGTTTCCCAAAAGACTAAACATATAGCCTCCCTGTGACCCAGCAATTACACTGCTGGGCATTTATCCAATAGAGCACAGACAAGGCCACACTAAAGCTACTAGTGCAACCATGGACATTGCAGCATTGTTTACCATAGCCAAGATATGGAATCAACCCAGATGTACCTCAACATATGAATGGATCAAGAAAATGTGGTATATATACACAATGGAATTCTATGCCTCCATCAGAAAGAATGACATCACCCCATTTGTTAGGAAATGGAAAGACTTGGAAAAAATTATATTAAGTGAAGTAATCCAGGCCCAAAAAACATAGGTCCCATGGTTTCCATTATTTGCAATAACTAGTGTATGTTTGAGACAAGCAGAAAAGGTCAGATAAGTTGATTTTAGGAGAAATGAACCCCAAGATAAAGACTCAAATGGTTTTTCTTTCTTGCTATTGTTTCTAACATATTTACAAGGTGTTTTTTTGTTGCTTTGTATGTCCCTCCTCCACAGTGTAAACTCTATTTACACTGTATTTGATGTTGGTATAATTTGGGGAGAGAAAGGGAAAAAACAAATTGTTTAAATAGGGATACAGGTGGACCCATTGGAACAATGAGATGTACAAGATGCTATGTCGAAAAATGAACTTGACAACTTTGGTGGGGATTGGAGAGGAGTGTAGTTGTGGAGATGGGAGTGCAGGGATGATAGAGGAAAAACAAAGGAGGAGGCAACAATGCTTGATAAGAAATGTACTCATTACCTTGCTCATGTAATTGTAACCCCTCTGTACAGCATTTTCACAATAAAAAACATATAAAAAAGAAAATGTGGTATATGTACACAATGAAACTCTACATTGCCATTAAAAAGAATGATATTGTACCATTTGTGAGGAATTGGAAATACTTGGAAAAAATCATATTAAGTGAAATAAGCAAGAACCTCCCCCCCCACCAAAAAAAATAAAACAGAGCTTGCATGGCTTCACTAATTTGTTGTAACTAGAATGTGCCTATAAATGTACAAGTAAACACACTAGATGGTAAAAGATTAAAAAATTACACTTGGAGAGGCTGGGAAGGTGGCTCAGTGGTAGAGCACTTGCCTTGCTTGTATGAGGCCCTGGGTTCGATTCCTCAGCACCACATAAGCAAAAAAAAAAAAAGCTGGAAGTGGCACTGTGACTCAAGTGGTAGAGTGCTAGCCTTGAGCTGAAGAGTTGAGGGACAGCGTCCAGACCCCCCACGACCGGACCCCCCAAAAATATTACACTTGGGTGTGATAGATTATAAAGAACCCTAGAGAATTGCACAGTGAGACCAGTGGAGGATATGCTTAGTCGATGATCACAAAGCCTCAATAGCTATTTGCAGATGATCAGAAAATGTTGTTTATCAAAATGAATTCCAAGAAATGGAAGCAAAACATTTTCTCATTGTATGTTTTGGTTTTCTTTCCTTTTTTTTCTCCTTTGTCCCTATTTTGGATTTCTGTACCTTTTGTCTTGATTGTAATTTTATCTGTTTTGAAGAAGGTCAGGGGGAACACAAAAATAGTTGGACAAAGGTGAAAAAATACAGCAGTGATACTAGAAAATGAACTATATAACTTGTGGGAGGAAAATGAGGGAGGAGGTGGCCCTGTTCAAAAAGAAATTTACTCATTACCTGACTTATATAACTGTAACTCCTTTGTACATCGTGTATATATATGTATATGCATATATATGTAATCCCACCCACATAATAATATATGCATTTTGTGAAGAGAAAGAATTTGGTTTTCTTGGATTACTCTTCTGGAAAGCAAGACAAATAATGAGGAAAAGTTTGGATAAGAATTTTTATTTAATACAGTCTCCTGTCGATGATCCTGAATGGAAGTAAACATCAAAGCAATGGGAATGGAAAGCAATTACATTTATACATACATCTAATGCCTACAAGGTATGGAGATGTGTACTTGTCTTATAGAAGCAATTCCTAGTTTTTCCCAGTTCAGTTTGATAATTTTTATTTTGTGATCAGATACACAGGCAACGTTTGTGTTCCTCCTTATGAGTATCCTCTTTGTTTCTCACTGTGTGTGTATGCCTAGAATCTTGTATAATTTTTTATGTCCCAGTGTATTTTAGATCTAGCTTCCACCTATGAAAGAAAAGATGCAACATTTCTCTCTCTGAGCCTGGCTTACCTCATTTTACCTGATATGGTCTGGGTCCATCCATTTCACTGCAAGTGATATAATATTATACTTCTAATGGCTGTATAAAATTCTATTGTGTACAGGTACCAGGGTGGTTGGATCTGCTAATCTAATGTAGGGTACCTCAGAAGCAATTTCTTTTTCTTTTTCTTTTTTGTGAATATACTGTACAGAGGGGTTACAATTACATGGGCAAGATAATGAGTATATTTCTTATCAAGCATTGCAGCCTCCT